ATTTATTTATATCAAATGGCAGGCGTTTTGATAGTTATCATTAGCCCCTTAGTTGACTTCAAGCTTCACAGAGGGGAGGAGGAACATCAGAGTGAGAAGAATTTGGGAGGGGGAATACAAGAGTGATTCACTGATGTAAAAGAGAGAGAAAGGGTAAGATGAGTACTGTGTAGGGGTCGAATATGACATAAAGGGGGGGGGGTCATGGCAGTTTGGAGTCAGAAGTCAACTGCCGATTAATGGACTTTTTTGCCGTATGAGTATACGTTGCCCAGGGTGCACCACGTGGAGGTAAGTCTATCCCACACCCCAGTCCCAAATTATCAGTCCCTTATTTGTGAGTCGCTGTCTCCTACACCAGCATATTTATTTCGAGCATACGTAAATTCAATTTTCGTACAGTTTGTGGTTAACAAATGCCAATCTTTCTAGCCAAATTGCACACGAAGTAAAGCTCTTATTATTTCTAATCTCATATCTTTGTCAAAATTTATAAATGCAATACCGATATTCTATTTCACGCACTTTTTCCTGTTTGATATCAACTCAAGAAAGTGAACGGTTATTTTTGAAAGTCTGTCGCCTCGCTAGTGCAGATCAATTGAATGCATCTTTTTGCAAACATAGAGATTTAAGAAGAAATAACATTCTGCTTATTGCCAGACATGGTACTTATTGGAGTCGCTAAGCCGTGTGTTTTGGGATGAAAAGTTAGATTATGGAGCCATTTTCTTGCGAAAAGTTATGTAGTCTTGATCTATCGACTGTGCACACTGACCACAACAACAAGTGTTAGAGTATAATTGCAGTGCTTGCCATTCACCATGAAGGACAATGAATGATCTAATTGTTGTGCTTAGTATTGGTGTATTATATTTACACCAATATTGTTATTTGCATACATACATACATATTTGATTGATTTTTATATTGCAGACCCAATACTACGTATGCAAGAAAATGACCCCAGCCCAACGTGCTTTGCATGTAACCATCGAGGAGAATATCACCGCTCTACAAGAAGGCAAACAACGTCTAGATATCGGTCCCCCCACCGAACGAGTTCTAGTCAACCTCGGACACGATGAGGCCTCCAGACGATGGTTAGATGAATCAATGGGTGCGACGGAGGTGCGAGTAGCTGATGAAATGGGTGCGATGAATGCGGCTGTAGCTCAAGCTGTCCGATCCGCGAATAGAGCAGACGCTGTCGTGAGATCAGTCGGTCCCACCATGTACGGAGTTGCTGAAATCACTGATCCGGCAGATGATCTTATGAGAATGCAACAATCCTTCCGTGTGGTTACTGTCCATTTCCCTGCCTTTGTGGACAATGTGAAGAGGGTGGCTGTGCTCAGAAGGGAGTCTGCTTTACTGAGGGCGGAAGACGAACCAGATGAAAGAGTTCGGCATGGAATTACGGATGAATCGGAAGCGAATGCGCAAAATCTGCTCGGTGCTGCAAGAACTGTTGCGGATAGCTTCACTGAACTGCTTAAAGCAGCGACTCCACTAACTACTCGACAGGTTGAAGCAATCCTTATGATCATAAATCTGTCATTTATTAAATCGATTGTGTTAAGGTTTGTTAAACTGATGTAGATTAGAGTTAGGCTTGCGTGTTGACAAGACTAGCAATATTTGAACGTTATCTCGCAATAACTAATGAATTCTTAACTTTTAGCAATAGCCTTCTATAATTATTTCTTTTCGATTCGTCCAACAATTTTATATAATAATAGGCTTTAGGCATATATGTGCCGGAGGTATATTTTTGCTATTTATAGAACATCTTTTCATTTGGAAGGAAGATTAAAGAAAACGATTTTTCGCAGACGCAACAGCATTTAAGCATTCCAGTGGGGTAAAGACTGTTACTCGGATTTTCTGATAACTTGCTAATTGGTTTGTCATTTCAGTGACACCATTGCTGTATATCAGTTATTCTGATTGTTATTTATCTTTGTTAATCTCCAACCTTTGTCTCTTTTCATTTGAAATATGGACATCTCTTTAAGTTATTAAACTTATTGAATATTGATTTTGATTTTGTTAAAAAATCGATCTCTGTTTCTATGAACAAAAACCAAAATTAGCCTTATTGCATCAATTGCTACAATTTAAACTATGCAATTGGAATTGGTGTATGTATGTCTTTTAAAAATAATTTATTAGGAAAATAATTACAGATTTATTTTTTCTTTTTCGGCATTTTTCCTTTGATTTTTTAGGAGAGCATTTTTGTCGTTAATTGCTGCTTTCTCAAAGAATTAACTTTAAATGTATTTCATGTTGTTGGGAAAAGTAATAACTGAAAATTAAATATTAACAATGTAAATTGTTTTCTTTATTTTTTAAAAGAAACGCATGTCTGATAATCCTCTCCCCTCTCTGGTTGATATAATTTTATTGTCATTTGTTTTGCTTTCAATTCTATTGAAAGTGTGTTAAAAGGCAGCGTTAGATTTTCTTTAATTGATTTCATTTTGTAATTTTTAATTTCTCTTTCATTTATAGACTGAATACGATTTGGATGTCGTGAACTACGTGACAGAGCAAGGCGTCCAGGCTCCGGGTTCTTCGAGAAAGGCTATTCTGGAGGCCGCAAATAGAGTCGGCGAAGCCAGCAACGATTTCTTGCGCTATGTGATGCAAGATTCTGAAGTTACTGATGGCGAAATCGTTCCTGAAGAAGACGAAGGAGTATATCAGGTATATTTCCATCTAAATTGCCTTCTACTTGACATCCTTGTAATCCAAATGGATTCTTTATTTGCACTATAAAAATTGTGTTTTCAGGCTGACCAGCTAGCCATCTTCCAGGTTAGTTTCGTAGATGCTTGCACTGCTAAGTCCAGTTGATTCATAAACTCACTTTGAGTACTTTCTCTAGTCTTCTACACTTTGGTATTTAGATTGACGTGCTAAAATTGGTATTCGCTATATCTACGGCTTATGTTTGATCTACCTTGTTCTAGGATAAACTCCTCGAATTGGCTAAAGAGGTTGCGAATTCTACCGCTGTGTTGGTTGTCAAAGCGAAGAATCTGGCCACTCAAACCAACTTGGATTCTGAACACCAACAGATGGTTGTTATGAATGCAACTCAAACTGGACTGTGCACAAGCCAGCTGGTCGCTTGTACAAAGGTGAGCATCGTTCACGTAGTTCTTGAAATCTTTGTCGAATGGCTGGCTAATTGTTTTCTTTGTCATCTTCTCTAGGTATTGGCTCCTACTATTCACCAAGCCTCTTGTCAACAACAGTTGTCAGAGTCTGCTCGTGACGTTTCAAACGCCGTTGATAGTGTTGTGCGTACAGCACGTAGCAGTGGCCAAACAGCTCATGATAGAATGGATCTTTCTGATGCAGATGTTCAGGAAGTCAATGCCGCTGTTATTGAAGTTGAAGATGCTGCAGTCGAAGTTCGAACTTCATTGGATCGTCTAAATGCTCATCTTCTAAGTGGATCTGCTCGGGTAATTTTCTATAGGAAAACATTCTGCTTATTTGGATTTAATGGCTACTTTATGGGAGTATTTCTTTCAGCCATACCAGGGTGACTCTTTGGACCTCTTCCAACAAGCCTACGACGCTCTTCAACAAGAGACAGATGGTGTGCGTCTTGTTGCTGCGGCTAGACGTCTCTCTCAAGTCACAGCACAAATGATCACCAATCTGAAAGTGCAAGCTGAAACTCTCGAAGGAGATCCTGAAAGACAAACGCGTCTGTTTGCAGCAGCTAAACAACTTGCTGATTCTACAACTGACCTTATCAACCAGGCCAAGGTAAGTACAGTACCATGATTATCATATCTAATTTTCAATAGTTCATAATTTTCGTTTTTTGGCATTTTAGGTCTGCTCGAGTGATCCTGACTCACCCGTTCGTAAAGCTGCCTTGAAGCGTTCAGCTGATGACTTGGTTGTTGTGGCGTACGCATCAGCAGCTGAATTGCTCAACGCGCGTGTGATTCGAAGTCTTCAAGCTGCAGCTAGAGCTGTAGTTAGCGCCTCGAATAATCTGATTACAACTAGTCGCGTAGCGTCAAGCAAGTCAAGGGCTAACAACTATCATGTAAAATAGTCTTTATCAAATCGAATCGTATAGAATTTGTGCGCTTTTGATACCGGCTTTTCATTATAGGTGACGACTGATGAGAGAGCAGTTAACGATCTACTACCTAAAATGGTTAGTGCAATCAGATTTATTAGAAGAGATCCTGAGGATCCGTTAGCTCAGTTAGAGTTAATTTGCACTTGCAAGCAAGCTGTTCAGGTAAGCTCTTCCGTAGTTGATTTATCGCCTTATCCAATTGTCAGTAGGCATTGGTTTAATTGCTGTCTTCTTGTAGCCTTGTAGCCAACTGGCTCGCTCATGTCGACAAATAGTTCCAACTATTAGTGATGCCGCTCTTCAAAATGCCCTTGATGGCTCCTCCTCTCAGATGGTGGTTGCTGTGGAAACCCTCAAGGCGTGTTTGGCAAGAGCTTCTCCTATCGCACGCCAACTTCAAATGGATGGAGCTTTGGCTTCTCTCTTGAGGACTGTTCGAGAGGCAGAAGAACTTGAGAAACTTGCTAAAGCAGGAACTCTTACTGCACTACCTGATGACAGAGTAAGTTCATTTTTGCCAATTTGCAAATTGGTAGGTGTGCTCCAAGTGTTAGCTATCAATAACTGATATAGCCTAATGCAGTTAAATTTGGCTCTATTTAACGTTTACAGTTTATCTTCCTGGTTCTTTCTTCACCACGTGATTGGGTTATGTTAATAATTGTTGAAAGATCATGCATGTAGATACTCCGTTCACCATTCAGTTTCAAATCTAGCTCACTACTTAAACCTTTTTCTTACCTTTAGGTGGAAGATCGTTACCAGACGCTGAAAGTTGGAGTTCGGGATGCTCAGAATGCAACCAGTGAGGTTATATCAGCAGTCGATACTCTTGCTCAAGATTACGCCTCACCTCAGAGCCCTAATCGTGACCAGAGCGAAGATTGGCTAGGTTCATCAGCAAACCGGCTTGCATATGGTGTCTCAGATCTTGTTCGTTCGACTAGAAGTTGTCTTGCAGCCGAGGAACGACCTGTTGATGCAAGCTTGGCTTCCAGTGTTCGTTCAGCTGCTCAGCTGGCTTATCAACTTGTCTGCGAGGCGAGAAAACTTGAGCCTGTCCAACCAGCTAATCTTACCCCTGATCAACAATTTGATGTTTTGGAAAGCAATAGAAATGTCAACGCAAATTGCAAACTTGTTGGGGAAAACCTTAATCGAACACTCTCTGAGTGCCTTCTGAAGGCTCTTCCTGGACAGAAAGAACTATCAGAGGCTTCTGATTTGGTCCAACGTCGCCGAAAGGAACTTGTTCGTTTCTCGGAAGAACCATCTGTTTTCGAGTACCCTATTGAAGAGTCACGAGTTGAGAAAATTCAGTCAGAATTCACAGGAGCTGCGGTGGACTTAAATCAAGCTACTGCTGATCTTACATCCTGTTATACCCCAGTTAATTTCTGCAAATCCTCTGTTCGATTTGCTGGAGCTTATGATAATCTGGTTGACAAGGGTATTCAGTTATCACGCACCAGGTCATCGAAAGACCCTTCTAATGGTCAATTAATCAATGGGCTCGTAGACGTATCGGATCGAAGCGGTGAAATGCTTGAGAGTGCTAAGCAACTCTGCAGCCAACCTGAGGCTGAACCACTTAGACAAAGACTCATTGGAGCTGCAAGGTGATTCAATTTATTAATTTAAGAGTGAGCTTTCCAACGAATAGAATATTAAAACTTATTTTGTTTTGGGTAGGTCGGTTACGGACAGTATCAGCCACCTACTAAGTGTTTCCTCTTCAGGAGTTATTCCAGGTGTTGCAGATTGCGATGCCGCACTACGACGACTTGAGTCAATGAGACCACTTCTTGAATATCCTGACAAGCCTGTCAATTCACACATTTATCAAACTTGTGTCCATGCATGTGCTCAGTCACTGACGGTAAGTTTTAGAAATTTGACATTGCAAACCATTTAAAATATACCTTGAAAGACACTTCTTTTTACTTTTAGCCACTATCTGAAGGCATTCGTGGAACTTTAGACGGTGTCAAGTCACATAACACTGAGATATTTACGTCAAATGTTAGGAGAGTTACCGATTCACTTTGTCAACTTGCAGAAGAAACCTCTCAGGCCGCATATCTGATTGGTACTTCTCAGCCCACTTCTGGATCTGGTCGAGTCAGTCTCATTGACATCGCATTCTTTGAACGTCTCCAACGTGATATTCGAACTATTTGCGGCGCAATTTCCAGTCCTCAAGTTACTGAACGCGAGGTATGCCACTCCACATAGAAATTCACTCAAATTCCGTCTGTACTACTTAATTCGTTTAAGTACTAAAACCTGATTATTATTTTATAGGACAGAGCACGAGTAAGTTAAAAGCGGGTGTTAAAAATCCTGGTTCATTTTCATGGCTTTGTATCAAATCAAATAACAGCCAAAAATAAATCTAATATTCTCTCATTTCGCTCTCTAACTGGTTACGATTAATTAATCGATCGCCCTAATTGATTCGTTTTTCGGTGTCGATAATTACGATTATAGTAGGATCTAAGCAAGTAATAATTAATTTATTTCCAATAGGTTGTGAGTTTGGCCAATGACTTATCAGCCAATATGCGTTCACTACGGGATGCCTGTAATTCGATTTGTGCAAAATCTACCAATGCGGAAACACAGCGGAAATTGCAGGCCCTATCCAATGACGCAACCCAAAGTATGAGTGAATTGATCCAACGCAGTGCTGATTGGTCAGATGAAGGGCGTCGCGCGACCAATAATCACGCACATGGGGTCAATATAAGCATTGATCGCTTAATGAGTTATCTTTCCTCCACAAACGAATTTGCCTGCGAACCATCCAGAATGAGTAGAGAAGCTAAAGCCGTATGAATTAATTTTTGAATTTATTTGTGCCATTCATTTAGTACAATTCGTCAACTCTCTGATATTACTTTATATTAGGCTCAACAACCTATTTGTGCTGCGGGTCAAGCTTGTCTGGAAAGCGGTAAAGGCGTAATTTTAGCTTCAAAGCATATGCTCCAAACTGCGGATTCTAAGGCCCAACCTTCTGATACAGCTTTCGCAGCCTTCACAGCAGCTAGCCGTGATTTGACGGACAACACGAAACATCTTCTTAGCGTCCTTAAGTAAGTATACATCCACTGATTATAAAAGTGGCTATTTAAAGTTCTTATCTTAGGAATTATTGCCAATCGGAGATATGTAAATTTTACCGTTGCGTTTATTAATTAGGCATTTTTATTCTTGAGATTAATTTTTCCGACGGTATTTGTAGCTTTGATGTAAATCTGCTGACATCATACCCACTCCATGCCCACTTCTCTATGCCAAACGCAAATTTTCGCTCATGCGCTTTTGCAATTAAGCTTTCCATGTGGTGCTTCTAATCCGCTTGACGACATGTATCTAAAGCCAATGGACATTAATAATAATATTATTTCAAATGGCAGGCTTTATGATATTTATCATTAGCCCTTAAACATCGACTTCAGCTTTCTCCATGGGTGGGAGTACATACATAGCAGTTAATTAATAGCAGTTCATTAGCTGCTTCCCAGTATCTCTGGCTTTCCATCGTTGTCTTTAGGGCTTGACATCGAATCAGGTGGGTCTTCTCCATTTCCTCCTGTAGGTTACGAAGGGGGCCGGGTTGAGTGTATACTCACAATCTGTGAAGGTGTTTTGTCAAGCAATCGTGTCCGGTACTATCTGTGAAGGTGTTTTGTCAAGCAATCGTGTCCGGTACGAATCTGTGCAGAGGGCATGTGGGTTGAGTGTATACTCCCAGTCTGTGAAAGGGGGCTGGTTGAGTGTATACCCCTATTCTGTGAAGGCGTTTTGCCAGGCAATCGTGTCCGGTGCATGTGGGTTGAGTGTATACTCTTAGGTTACATAGAGGGCATGTGGGTTGAGTGTATACTCCCCTCTGTGAAGGTGTTTTGCCAAGCAATCGTGTCCGGTACGTTTGTGAAGGTGTTTTGCCAAGCAATCGTTTCCGGTACGTAGTCTAAACTCAGCAACGGCTTCAATTCTATGTCGGAGAGTAGAAATTAATATGGTATATCTTCAACTTACTGATAATCGAAGTTTACCAGAACAGAGTAATTCTGAGGACTTAAACCAAAAGTATGATCTGCCAAACAGTGTCTCATGGATATAGCTAAACTTTCATCTCTAACATCTCTGTTATCATTACCTTATTCAGGATAAATCCCATCACAAGAGTCAGGTTGGTTAATTTAAAATAAAGCGCTCTTTTTATTGCTAGTTTTCCAACTTATCACAGTTTAGGTTTGTAACACGCCTCAGAATAATGTCACCAGAACTATTTATTCCATTCAATTCGTTAATTCTTCAGTGCTCAAGCACCAGGCCAGGCTGAATGCCAACGTGCTCTGTTGAACATTCGTCGACTATTGCACGAATTGGAGCGTGATAAGATGTCCATAATGGATGGTGCATTCGCTCCTCGTCATCAAGCGACTGAAGAAGGTTTCCTGAAAGTAGGCATAAATTATTAAATAATGATCCGTGGAACCCATTGCTTTACTGAATTTTGCATTGTATTATTACAGCAACTTTCAGTGAATTCCCGTGCTCTAAGAGATATCGCGCCCCAAGTAGGCCATGGAGCTACGTCAGAAGCTGAGAGACTGGGTCACACAGTTCGAGAACTTGACCTCCTCTTACCGGGTCTTGTTTCCAGTGCTCTTGGAGCTGCTTCTAGGTCTTCAAACCCGTCTGCTCAAATGACATATCTTGAGCACACTCGAACTGTTATTGAATCCGCCGAACAGTTAGTTTCTGCAGCTAAACAGGCTGGAGGAAATCCAAGAGTAGGCTGAGTTGTCATTTTTCAAATTAAGGCGGTCCAATTTGTTTATTATGATTTTGAATTCTTCTAGAATGATGGCATTCGTGTTGCTGTTAACGACTGTGTTAATGCACAAGTTGCCTCGTGTGAAGAACTACTCTCAGCTATTGAAGGAATTTCATCACAGCAGAACTTCATGAACAAATTGATGGCTGTTCTCGATGAGTCACAAAATCTTGTAAGTTCGAACAGCCGTGTAGTTCTTTTGTCTACTTTCGAATAACCCTCTATACTGAATATTTTCTAATTTTCCCATTGTCTCTAAAACTATGACATTTTTCCAATTTTATTACACTTGTAGGTCGATAAACCAGGGCGCATTCCTTCTGACGCTCATTTCACTGACTATCAGTCTCGACTTCTCCGATTGGTTAGGCACATGGAACAGCAGACCGAAGTGACTGTCCGTACAGCTAGACGACCTCAGGAGACAGCTAGTCAAGAAATTACGGGATTAGTTCAGAGTTTGGCCCAAGACTACGCAGAGATTTGCATGATATCTCGAGACGCCTGTGAGACGATTCGTGATCCCCATGAAGCTGAGAAACTTCGTTGGGCTGTTAAGAATCTCGGTCAGACTACGAGGGGCTTAATATTAGCAACTGTCAACGCTGCGTCTTCGAAGTCAGACACGTCTTCACTTACACGAAAGGGGGCTTTGGTTAGACCTCCTGCTAGTATTCGTAGCTTAGACTTCTCTGCTGGTGCCATGAATGAACGGGTGAGTGCCCTCTTCTCTATTTCACGAAAATCTTTTCTACTTATATTTATCGAGTAAGACGTTTATTTTAGCTCCGGGAATTAATTGCTTTACTGGAAGCTCAAGGTCCTGGTACACAGGCCTGTCTACAGGGTGCTAGTACTGTGAGTGGAATTATTGCAGATTTGGATACAACTATCCTCTTTGCCAGCTCTGGAACTCTTCATCCACCGATTCGGGATGACGTAGACATGCAGCATCTGGAATCACAGCAGAGATATTCAGCCATCTCTTCGGGTTACGATGCATTTGATCGAGAGGCTCAGAGCCATTTCATTAGCATACGGTATGCAATTAGAATCGTAATTCTGTTTAGTTATCTGGTGTATTTTCGTATTCCGTTAAAGTGATGATTCTCTAAAGTCCCAACTGTAATCTCTATCATGGCATCATTTCACAGATGGAATAAATTAAAAGAAGACTTTTGTGAACGACTTGTTTATAGTTACCAATATTCTCAAAATGTTTGTCACTTTGTGAGGCACTACTTTCTACATATTTGACCTGCAGTCGTGCCACTAGAAGTTAATATTTTCGTCTCGAACCATTTCAAATTGGTTTCAGAACTAGAAACCTGAGAGAATACTCTTCAGATTCCAAAGCTTATAGCCAAAATGAGCGAATTTCATCTTCTATGAGGTAAATAAACTGAATCAATTCTTCTCGAATCTTATCGAAACTCCATGTATTTTCGTAATCTACGGATTGAGCATGAAATTTAAATAGCATTTTCTTAAAGCTCTCCATATTTTTTTTATTTTTGGACTTCTTTTATACTTCATTTAATCAATTCTCGTTAAGTGGGTAGAACTTATCTCCTCCACATGCTACTTATAGTTAATATTTCACTTCTTCTAAATCGTTGATCTATTAGACCAAAGCCTACTCCTCATGATAGGCTTTTGATAATTTTAACAGTATCTAAAGAAAATTGTTTTAAGAAAATACATAAATTCGGCCTAAGTATTATAGTAAGCCTCAGGAGTAAAACTAAGTGCCTGTATTTTCACTAAATTTGAGTTATTTCTGCCATTTATCTGTCTATTCTACTAGAATCTTAGGTCTATAAGTGTACGGTGACTCATTATAATTTTGAATAAAATGAAGTGCTTCCAAATAGCGTGCTTCATTTCGCATCTTTTAGAGAGAGCATTCATCGCACAGCTGATGCATTGGTTCAGGACACCCGGTCTCTAGTGCTAGGTGCCGGCGAGGATCAAACTCGACTAGCCGGCTCTACCCAAATGGCCGTGCGCAACATCTCTCAATTAGCTGATGTGGTGAAGCAAGGTGCCGCTCTGATTGGTCCCGGTCAAAGTGACAGCCAGGTGAGTGAGATACTATTGGTTATTCCCCCCTCTCTCCTCCCTTTTTCCAAACCAATCGCCTTATTATTCATTGTAAGCTTCTTTCCTATTGGGAAAGCATCAACGGCACCCTACTAATTAAGCACAATGAAAATAAGCTAGTCTACTTTCATCTATTTCTCTTCGGTGCCATTTGTAAGCATTTGCTTCTTCTTTCAACTGACCGTTGTTCTTGTGTTTTGTCCACTCTCATTCGTCTCCTCTCTCTCTGCCTCGACGTTGTGGTTTGTGATCATCTTCTCTACTCGCGCGGTTCGTCGTTGTAAAACCCAAAATGCATCTTCCTATTTCATATACTACTTATATATTCTAATCGTCACCGCGCATGTCTGTGTATCGAATGATGACTGCTGATACCGCATGAGTGCTGTGTAGCGGTGCCGTAGCTTTGCCCATCATGTTTTTGCTCGACCAAGGATTTGTTAGTACCCCGTCCCCTCTGTCTTTCCTTCCCACTCCCTCCCCTTACCTCTTTTGCATCCAATCAGCATTTAGTTACACTTATTTCTCTCGTCCTTTCCTTCGCCTCCCCCCCCCCCTACCCCACCCCACCCTGTTTAGTAGGCATGACTTTCGCTCTCTCATCATCAACCCTACATGATAACTTTGATCATTTAGTCTAAAGCACGTGGAGATTTGTTGTTCTCTCTCAGGATCAGTGCTCTATCTCTTTTCTCCCACTTTCTGTCGATTAGCCTTATCGAATGATTGTTTCTCCAGGTGCAAATTCTCAGTGCCGCGAAAGATACTGCTGTGGCTCTCAGAAACACTCTTCTCACAGCTGCTCAAGTTCAAAGCAAATCAAAGAAAGATCCGGTCTTCAAGGAGGTTAAAACTTACGAGAATGTAGGCCCATTTAGCACTTTTTAATCTTGTCAATGGCTTTGTTTAACTTGATCTGCTTTTAATCAGGAGGTTGGAACATGCTCAAATCGTCTCTTGAAGGCAGTAGATGCAATAGAT